AGTTTAAAGTAGGTTAGCAGCCTCAGACGAATAATCATCTAAATTAAGAGAGCTATAATACTCTTTAAAGACCTTTAGGTTAATACCTTAGTCCCTCGACTTCCATCCCTTTATCATATCTTTGCCCAAAACTTTCTCGCATAGGGCATTGACTTATTAAACTGGTCCATTAACCTCCTTACCCTCAATCGGGAGACTCAACAATATGTACACGTCCTCTAGTGTGATGATACATTCATCCACTGGAAGATGAAATGTGTGTGTTTCGGGTCTCCATCTTTCTAACAATACGAGTATAAATTTTGGATCAATGGTGTTGTTCGATATATTGATACATGTCCAAAACCCGCACGTTCTAAATACGACACAATCCACGGGTCGGGAGCGATATAAGAGTGTGAACGACAACAAACTCTCGATACATCCTAAATAAAAAATACATATATAAATGAGTAAATAAAATAAAGTGTGTATGAATCAAATAAAATATAGTGAAAGCGTGTATGAATTAAAACTTACAAAGGTTATAATGTTCTTGATTGTTCCTCTATGATTACGACCCATGGTTAAGAGATACATATTTGAAAAATCAGAGACATGTGTATCATATAATGTGTAGAGCTATGTTACTGAAGATAGTGGTGACGAAAACAATGTATTCTATATGGACGTAAAAACCATATAATACTCCAAAATCGAACAACAAATAGCTTGCAAAGCTCATAAATAATTGATAATATGAAATTGAGAGCTAAACTTGATAAGAAACTAACTAGATATTGTAATAGAATGTAGCGGATGATCTTTGTAATGTTAATTTTAATCTTGTAATTTGTATGTGAATATTTAGATCAACTTCGTACCTAAACTATTTTTGAAATAAAGTATTTCATTTACTCTACAAGAATATTAAATTTATTTATTTTTAATTAAATAAATCGATTCAACATATTTAAAAGACTTTTTTTTGATAATATTTGGCCTAACTTTTTTTTAGCTAAATATAGCTATAAAAAAGCCTAAACTTTTATATTTAAAAAAAAGTCTGACTTAACATGTAGTTTAGGTGGTATGTCTCTATTATTCATAATGGAAAAATTAAAATGTCATTTATTTAACTCTATTTTTTTCCTACCGCAGGTTCACTGAAGCTATAGGTGCTCCCGCACACAGCAGGTTTCATTCCCATAAACCCTCTCTCCCCGATTATTCATTTCTCGTCGTTTTCTCTATCCATTCTCCCAATGCCACCGTCGACTTCCGCCGCCAGAACCCTTGCGGAGCTCCGCCGTATTTCCAACCTCACCCGCGGTGGCGCAAATTCCAATCACATCTTCGCAGCCAGGACGTTCAGCTCCGATGTAGTCATTTCACCCGTAACTGTTTCCAACCCTACACTTTCTTCTTCCTCTGATTCAAATGGTATGCACTCATTCAATGTTGTTCCCTCTACCTAAAGGTTCATTTTTTTTTATAATTGATTTTTTGATTTTTTGGATTTACGAAAGGAAAAGCTTCAAAGTGGTGGCTGTATCTACCTGGAGCAATCGCATTTGGTCTTGGGAGTTGGCAAATTGTTAGAAGAGAAGAAAAGGTGCGTGTGTCTTTTTGTCCAAACTCTGGTATTCATTACAACAATAGCGGTTTAGTGCAAAGTGTTGTTAGAATGCGGCTAAAGCAGCACTAGAACGTTGTAGCGAACCATAATTTGAACAAACCACTATTTTCTGCGATATGTGATTGACAATACTGCCACTTAGTAGATTTAGACATCTCTAATTTTAGTTTTTGTTATGAATCCATATTGACAAAGTTAGAATTGAACCCGGCGATCTTCATTTGATACTGATAGCTTTGATTCACATTCGCTGAGGCAATATTTCTGACTCCATCCGATTGGATTTAGTGGAAAAATTTATTAGTGTCATCATCCTGATAAATATATTTATACTGTTCTTTGCAATAGGGTTTCGGCTTGTGAATTAGAGTAAAAATTGTGCTTTGTGTTTGTAGTTCGGCTTGTGAATTAGAGTAAAAATTGTGCTTTGTGTTTGTAGTTAGGATCAAGGAAATGATTTAGTTTACAAGCTTGGAGTGTGATGGTGTTAAAATGTAATGTGTTGTGATGTTGAGCGCGGTGATTAATCCTTTGATATTTGTGCCAATTCGTGAAATATCTCCAACTCTAGTAGAATATGTGTATTATTTATTTGTGACTGTCAAGATTGCGTGGCATTGTTCCATTGATGTTAGTGATCTAGATAAGTTCCATAAGCTCAATGCATTAAGGCATTGCAATATTTAAGCATTTTGCTTTTGACTTGTTGAATTTACTATCTGGTAACAATATTGGACTGTAGAGATTCTAGGTAGCAGGTGTTGATTCAATTCATGCTCAACCAGTTTGGATGGAACATGTCTTGAGAATCGAGTTTATTTTATATAGATTTTTGAGATTCCAAATGTAGGCATTAACTATGCAGATTATCTCAATGATAATTCTCTCCATCTTACAATGCTATAGATTAAAACGCTGGAGTATCGAGGGAAGAGGTTGCAAATGGAACCATTGAAATTCAGCGGCGCTTATCCGTCGAGTGAGGAGTTAGATTCTCTGGAATTTAGAAAGGTGGTGTGCAAGGGAGTTTTTGATGATAAAAAATCAATCTATGTGGGGCCACGTTCAAGAAGCATTTCAGGAGTTACTGAAAATGGTTACTTTGTTATAACACCTCTTATGCCAGTTCATAATCATCCTGACAGGTAAATTGTAATTATCAAGAGCTTAAATGAAAGTAATGCATATGCATCAAGTCATCAGAAAATTTAAATATTTTACACTTTGCATATGATGAATATTTTAAACACATGAGTCAAGTTTACGGAGATATGCTCTGGTCTAGTCTATATTATGTTGCATACTACAATGGATGTTTCAAAATGTTACTTTAACTCGACTTATGGAGATTTCATGAGGTCATGTGTATACTCTTTAAGTTTGAAAACCTTGCATATACCAACTTTCAGATATTTATTGTTTTGAAACCGCATAGTACCAATCTTCATTTGTCCTGAATGAACTTTAAGCATATCCTTTTGGTTAAAGGAGTAAAGACTATTCACTTCTTGTGGCTCAATATGTATGTTTCATTGCTTCTTGCAGCGTGAGTTCTCCAATTCTAGTTAACCGAGGATGGGTTCCCCGCAGTTGGAAAGAAAAGTTTTTAGAGGCTTCACACGATGAACAGTTTGCAGATCCACTTCCTTCCCCTTCACAATCCGATGGAACCAGATCTTGGTGGAGATTCTGGTCTAAAGAGCCTGTTAGCAGCGAGGTTGAGGTTGTCTCTACCTCTTGTCATATTCCCATAATATCATTCCTTGTTTAACACAGAAAATTGTAGATTCAAACTTATTTCCAATTTTCAAAGTTTTAAAATCCAAACCCGAGCATGGAATCAGCTAGGCCTCCGAGTCACGGTTCAACTGCTTTAAACCGTTTGAACCGGAAGGAAACCACAGTTGAACCGCTCAAATAATTAAACCAAAGACAATATTAAATCAAGGTTCAACTGATTGAACCATCTAATTCGGTTTTAATTTTTTCTTTAAAAACTTTGCTGTTTTACAGGATCAGGTCCCATCTGTAACACCCAATGAAGTGGTTGGGGTTGTTCGCGGAAGTGAGAAACCGAGCATATTTGTTCCAGCAAATGATCCCGAATCTTCCCAGTGGTTCTATATTGATGTTCCTAGCATTGCCCGAGAGTGCGGTCTTCTAGAAAATACTATCTATGTTGAAGATATTAATGAGAATGTCAATCCAAGTAATCCTTATCCTCTTCCTAAGGATGTCAATGCCTTGATTCGAAGTTCGGTGATGCCACAGGACCACCTAAACTACATATTGACATGGTTCGCAACTCTCTGTTCTCTTCTTGCATATTAAATATTGGGCATTTTTTTGTCCGATTAAAATTTATTTTGTAAAGACAATATTTTAACCCAAAAATAAAAGTTGTTCATTGAATTTTTCGGTTTCTGGGACAGGTACTCTCTTTCTGCAGCAGTTACATTTATGGCTTTTAAGAGGCTAAGACAGAAAAATAAGAGGAGATAGCAAATTTGTTACTGTTGAATTTTGCAGACACATAACACCTTCAATATAACAACAACTCTCTTTGGAGTATTGTCTTCTCAATCTTCCTATCTCAATTGACAAGGATCATTTTCAAGCAACTTGTGATATTCAAGTGAAGTCCTCTTAGAAGGTTACTTCTCACCTCAAAAACACTTGTAGAATGAAAGTGAGGTGATATTTATTGGACAGAATAATGTTTAAAAATTCTGATGCAAGATAATAAAATTTGTGGATATTTATTATCTTTTGATCAATTATTTTATTTGAAAAAGTTAATACTATTCTGTAAAATGGATGTTGTATTAGAGGTGGCAATGAGGGTTGTTTTGGTTTATTTAACTTTGTTTGATCTTTTACTATAAAAACAGCTTATACGTAAACCCTTATTATGATAAATATTTATGCTATAAGCTGTAAATAAGTTATGTGATAATATAATTTTTTTTACTTCCTTATTTACTTACCTACTTTTCTTATTTCAACAATAATGAATGTTGAAAATTAGAACAATAACAAATTAATAAAAATCACCAATCAACTCATATAGAGGTCAGAAGTTAAAGGAATGAGTATGTACAGACTTGAGAACTTAAGAATGAAAGATCACCCAAAACCCAAAAAAGAAGTAATAAAAATTGTATTTGATCTATCAGTTAATGGCAATGAATCACAGCCACTGCAACATTTTAAAATTCAAAATGCATGTTGCACTATTTTATAGGCTTTTTTTACCAAACTATTTGATAGGTTCTAAATTCATGCTCTTAACTCCTTTCTTAATCATGACATAAAATTCAAGAGAGAAATTTTAACATTGAACAAACTCATACATAAGACATGTTTTTTTTAAAAATTATTATTAGTATGCAGAAAATACTAGAGCAGTCAACAATGTAACGAAGCCAAATACACCAAAATAACTGATTCCATATGGAGTAATCATTTTTGTTGAGTTAGTGGTAACTTCAGAATCCTCTTCAGCTGCTGCTTCATCTGGAAGCAGAAAATACAGTATTAGTCAACTCTATATCGATTAACAGCTTAGGATCGATTTGATCGATTTGGCATAATTAGATTACATGTTATCTGGTTTTCATACAATGATTGAGAATTCTTTTGAAATGATTTTAGTCCAAATTTTGTTGAATAAAATTCTAACTTGTCATGGTTCAAAAAGCTTTAACATTTATGTACATAAGTATGTGTATGTCAGATGATTTACCTTCTGATGTTGATGTTGATTCTGATGTCGATGATGTTGAAGGTGTGGTTCCTTGTGCCGTGAAAGAAACATAAACAAGTTGAACGTTAGAACTATGCTTTCAAAGCAATGCAAATGAAAAAAATTAAGGACAAAGATAGGATTAAGGACATTGACAAAATAGATTTCACCTAATACATGTGCAATTCCAAGATAACACAATAAACATTCAAGAATACAAAGATGCAGTGAAGAAACTTCTAAAACAATCTCTAATTAATAAACCATTACATATGCAACATATTTTTACAATAAAAAAAATAATAAAACTAATAAAATTTCAATCAAACAAATTAGGTTTATTAGACTATACGATTAGAGATGACAAACATACATATCTGACCTGCAAAGTTTGCTAAAAAATAAGACGGAGTAGACACAATAGAAGGAGGGACAAAAATCTTGGCTCCTCCCACTAAAAAACGGGGCGAGGAGAGTCTGGCAAGACTTGAACCTCTTAAGTCTAAAAGTGACAAAAAATTATGTCCGTCACATTAATGAACACGCCAACAAAAGCCCGCCAAAGAATGGGACAAAAATGAGTATACTAGAGGGTGGGAGCCTAAAATTTTAGCTCGGTCCTTTAAAAATTGCCGCCAAAAAATAAGTTTGAGTGAGTCAGGTAAGACCTGCACCCCTTAAGTCTAAAAATGACAACAAAAAAAAAATATACGTCCCGTTAATACATGCGCCAACAAAAATCTGTTAAAAAACGAGGCAAAACATATATAATAGAAGGTGCAAATCTGACACGGTTCGTTAAAAATTGTGGACAAAACAAACATGTATGACGGCCGAATCTGTTTTATCATTCCTAATACAGCTGGTTGCTGTTAGGAACAGGGGACATATTTTTGTGTAGTTGCCATTATTTAAATTATGTTCCTTCTTGAATTGCTTAGGCTATTGCTATTGAAATAAATCAAAATTTTCAAATAAAAAAAAACTCATGAAATGAATAACCTGCAGTGGAGGCATTGCACTTAGAGGTATCAACATCAATACCACAAGCATTAGGAAGCTTTACCAATTGTTCCTTAGTAACATCAAGGGACATAAAAAGCTTAGGATTGCTAAGAACATTGCAAAGACAATCAGATTCACTTGTTGCCATTTCCTTCAAAGGGGTACAACATGCTGGTGGAGGATTGCCTGGAGACTTCAAAAATGGTTGACATGGAAGCAGTTTTTGCATGCATTGTGCATTTTGCAAAACTGAAGATTGTCCCAAACCAGGAAGAAGCTGATCGAGACCGCTAACGTTGGTTCCGTCGCATAAACAAGGGTTGAAAAATGAAGATAAATTTATTAGGAGGAATGAGAGGAATATCTTACAAGTTTTAGCCATGATTTTCAATCAAGAGAGAAAGAAGAAAAGAGATATTTTTTTAAGAAAAAACTAAAGGAAGAAAATGGTGTTTTTTTTGTTCTTCCTCTATTCCCCTAGTGGTTTATTGTGGTGGAAAGTTTGTTATATAAAATAAAGGAAAGTTCTATTTTTAAAAGGTTGTTTTTTTAGATGAAATTGAGCCAGCCATCTTTGATCATATCACACTTAATTTAATCTACAACTATGGAATTTAAAAAATCCAAGTGTAATTTTTTTTTATAAAAAAAGTTGTCTATTTTTTCAATATTATTTTTGCTATTTTTAAACTGTAAAATTGGAAATTTAAATTTTTTAGTAACGCCTAGGATAAAATCATAGAAAACTATTAAATCATAACAAGTGTTAGGAAAATATGTAATTCTCTTTGTTAAATGTAATTGACAAATCTTTTTGATGTTAAACTTAAATAACATGTTTTTGGTAGGAGGGATGATATTTGGACATCTTAAATATGCACACCATATATAAACCGTATGAGAATATCCTATCTATAAACTTGATCTTTTTTTTAAATTTTGTATTTAAAAATAAAATAAATGATAATTCGGTTCTGATAGGATTTGTTCTTTAAACCCTATTGTATAAATCACAACCGTAGTCAAATACGATTTTGATAGAGTTTGTTCTTTAAACCCTATCAAAATCTCCTTCCACCCACAATCAAGTTTTATATTTCAAAATAACATTTTTTTCATTTTTTACATCAAAAAGAGCAAAAGAAACTGAAATTTAAGATAATGTACATGTATTTCATTGTTCATTATTTGGTAGAATCTGGTTTTTGCTTTGAAAAAATGAACATTGCGTCCAAAATTGTATTTTCAGACTTTTGTTGAATGTCATACGAAAATGTATTTTCGGATTAGTTAGATGTTGAATTTGGTAAGTTTTTATTTTTTTTGTTATGACTGCCCTTAGATATGGTGCACCCTGTCGCTGTCCCCAAAATAATTTTGTCTATGGATGTTAAATCGATTGATGTTAACGGATGTTGCTAAATAATTTACAAATGAACATGAGTTTGCTGTTCGTGAATGTAATACGGTGGGAGAGTTGACTTTTAGGTTTTGCGTTTTATCGCAAATGTTGCGGATAGTAAGAGTTGCCACCGACTTTTCTTTTATCCAATAAAGGAAAGGGTGAAAAGAACAGAAAAAATATTTTGAGAATTTTCTGAGTAAGGGGGTAGATATGAAAAGGAAAGGTGTTAGCACCCTTTTCACCCGTAGTTTTCTACGGACTCTTAATCGCTAGCTCATTTTTTGGAAATGCTTTGTGCTTGCGTATGTTTGAAAATATTTTGAAAATGCCTAAGTGCGACAATTTTGTAATGACTAAGATCGTTTACCGAAGGCAGCATAGAAAGATCATAGAGGGACTATGATCTTTTAATCAAAGATCTTTGCTAAAGCATCCCACATTCGAGGGATATGACTGTTTTATCTGAAGACAACAAGAGAGGTTATCGTAGAGGTGCGTGTGTGAATAGTGTTTTGATTTCAGTTAATTTGTCTTAGATTTATGGTTATCTAGAGTTTTGTTTTAGATCTTGTCATACAATCCTATTAAATTAAGAGTAATAAGGAAGACGGTAAATTGCGGAAATTAAATGTCATACGCTATTACAACGCTTCGGGAATAGGGGTACAATTTTATGAATGGGGATGAAAAGTAAAGTAAACCCTAATTAAACTATTACATACTGCAGCAGTTACAATAATTGGGAAATAAAGTACGCGAAGATTTGTAAAAATAAAGAGAAAAAGAAAATGAAAATCGTTTTGTGATTGTTTTGATAAAAGAATTGAATGATTAACCTAAAAAAAACTAATTAGTTTTAATTAAAAAAGAAGTTAATTAAATTAAATAAAACCCTAAAAATTCTATGATGATTTTAATTAATTAAACCCTAAAAAATCTATGTTGAATTAATTTAATTAATTAAAAAGCAAATTAAATAAAAACCTAAGTCTAAATTAATATTAATTAATTAATTTTTTTATTTAAAAAAGGATAATTAAAAATTATGTAAAAAAAAGGTTAATTAAAAATTATGTCAAAAAAAGGTTAATTAAAAATTCTGTCAAAAAAAGGTTAATTAAAATTATATAAGCAAGTTAATTAGAATTATGTAAAAAAAGTTAAAGCAAAAATAAATAAAAAATGGGATTGGGCTTGTTAAGCAGAAATTGGGGGTATGAAAAGAAATTGGGGTGTTGGGCCAGTGAGTGTTAGGCCCATTAACAAGTATTTTTGTTGAAGCAGAAAATAAATAAAACCAAAACAAAGTATTAGAATGGGCATGGACTCAGTAGAAGCTGGGGGTGCTAAAAGCAAAGGAAGTCCAGGCCCAACTATAGCAAACAAACAGAAAAAAACAAAAGGTCTGGGGCGAGGGGGATTCGAACCCCATACCCTTAGTTTACAGGCGCACAGGTTTTATCACTGGGTGGCTGTTTCATCCGGTTATGAAATGCCCCCAAATCAATATATTATACAACGAATTTTAAAAATTTGAAATGTTATCTTCTTCTTCCTCGCGCGCGCAGACAACAACAACACCATTGATGATTTTCGAAAACTCTCATTTCTCATCCATTTTGAAAACTTCCAAAACCAAACTTGCTTGAAATTTAATCACGAATTCAACCATATAATTTACTCAAGCTAAAACTCAAAGATTAAAGAGAATTTTTGTTGGTACGAAAAACAAACCCTAACGGTTCAGAGTCAAAATTCTCATCACACAATCAATTTAAATGAGATATATGGACATGGTTAGATTTAGAGGCATGATATCTACATTTTATCTTTTGAAATCGAAAGCACATGATGTATGGATAAGGATATCACAGTTTGAGTTTTTTACCTCTTTGGAGAAAAATCCAAAGCTTCTTCTAGCTGTTCCAGGTGCAATATTATGATTGATTAAGCTCCCTTGAACCTCACTAAAGCTATTCTAATTGGTAGAATATTTTGAAATTTTCTGAAGCACTCCAACCAAGTCAAGTTGCAAGGCTCAGTTTTTGAGTTTGGAAGATGATGATGATGATGCTACAAAAATCTTTTTGCTACTTGCTTTTGAGATTGCTTGTACTCAGATGAAACAAGTTGAGAGCTCAAGAAGTTGACTTTGTGATTAAAGTTTGCTTTTATGAAAATGGCAATGGTGCCTTTGTATCATTAATGGAATGATCACTTGGACAATGGCTTGAATACTTGGATAATACCTAAAAAGAGTGTGTAATCTTCTGATTATGGAGATATTTAGGAGTTTAGAGGTCTGTAAAGTGAGATTGTGTAGCATGGTTATGAGATTTGGTCATGAGTTCATCACAAAAATGTCCTATAATTCAAGAATGAAATGTCAACTTCATGTCTTCTAAACTCTCAGCTCAAACATGATATTTTCATTCTCCTGGACATTTTGGAAAGCTTGAATCAAGATATTCAACTTTCATGTTGACCATTTTGGCTAAATCAACAGGGAAATTGGTGAAAATTGGCCAAGAATTTGAGATGAAAAACTGATCAAAAATATTTCTAAGTGTTAGATAAAAAGTATCAGAACTTCATGGGCCCATATATCTTAATCCAAGCACTTTTTGAGGATCATCCCACATTAAAAAAGTTATAGAATTTATTAATCCCTACAACTTTCATGTTGAAAGTTTTCATTGAATCAGTTTGTATCTTAGTGAAAAACGTCCATAAAGTATTGACTTTGTTAAGAACAAAACACTTAGAAATTTTTCTAAGTGTTGGAAAATTTTCCAACTTTTAAATTTTGTTGACTTTTTTTCTTGATGTTCTTTACTTTGTTAATTCTTGATGATCAAACTTGATAATTTTGAATATTTTGATGATTCTTGATTTTTGAATTCCAATGTTGACAAAAAGTCAAAGTTTTACTTTTATGTGACTGTTGACTTTTTATCAATTGATTCAATTCTTCAACTATCAATCACTTGTATCTTTGGAAATGTCTTGAGCCATGTAATTAGGTCAAGATGTTGTATTTGAGCTCTTGAGATCATGCTTTAAGCCATTAGGTCATGCACTAGTCCAAAAGTCAATGATCAGTCATCTTTAATTAAAATCCTAAGTTGGCAATTTTTGACCTTTAATGATTTGAGGGATTTATTTAAGGAATCATGATCAACCCTTGATCAAATGATGAATATCACCTCAAAATGTTGATGTTGACAAAAAATCTTGAAGTTAGACTGTATGTTGATCATAGTTGACTTTTTACCCAATACAATTGACTTTCAATCTTCTGAGCCATTGACTGGGAAAATATGTGATGCAAGACTTTTTAAACTTGACATAAGCATTATTGAGGACCTATGATGAACCATGAAAGTCATTTGAGACCCTTGTTATCATGTTTTGAAGAAAATGGGAGGGAAAATTTTGGGGTACAACAGCTGCCCCTGTTCAATCTTCTTAAACCTGAAGAGTTAGATTGTCATGTCCTCCATTTGTGACTTGAAGGTAGAAGATAATTGAACACTTAAGCACCCAGAAATTTGCACTCGCATGTGCACGAAGTAACGTTGTTGGTTGATTATACTAGGAATGGGCTTAAATATGCCATTTGGAGAGGTGGTGGAGAGTTGTCGTAGATGGGCTTATAGATGCCATCCAAAGTAACTGTTGATAGAACTTAGACTACGTCTACGCTCGGCTTCGACTGGAAGAAGTATCAGAATAAATCTACGCTTGATTTAATCTGAGCCAGAAAATGTCTACTGGAAGAAGTATCAAAATAAATCTATGCTCGATTTAATCTAAGCTAGAAGATGTCTATGCTAGTCTGCAACTGGAAGAAGTATAAGAATAAATCCATAGTTGATTTAATCTGAGTCAGAAAATGTCTACTGGAAGAAGTATCAGAATAAATCTATGGTTGATTTAATCTGAGCCAGAAAATGTCTACTGAAAGAAGTATCAGA